GTAGCCATTTTGGCTCAAGTCTTGGCCCGAGTCACCCCTGGTGCGGCAGGCCGTTGCAAAGGAGGAGGATGGAGGCGCTACGTGACTAAAGAGCCATTTCAACCATAGGCCGTTTTTGTACTTTTCTCGTCGCTTTTGCAGTCGCTTGTTGTCACGTGTCAGCACAGTGCAATGCAGCCTCCTGTGCCCTATCAGAATCAGAAGGCACATGTGAATGTCACTCCACAACTTCGGCAGCGCTAGGCCTGTTCTTGGCATTTGGCCCTGCGCTCTCGCTGCAGATGGGTCTCAGCTGACCCTTTTGTCAGCTATCCATGAAGAAATCCCATCACACATCGGGTTTTGATGTGCACTTTGGCCCTCCCCGTGGCGTTAATCTGTCAGGCAGCCAGGTCCAACACACCATCTGGAACGCCAGAGCCGGCGGTCTAGATACGGTGCAAAAGCATAGCCTCCACTTTACCGGTGTATACTGCGGGCAGATGCATTTTGACTTGCGCGCCCGCCTGCCTACGAACCTGCAGTTGTTACGTGCTGAATGTTTACGGTTCTGCTGGCATCGGCCCAAAGAACAACAGCCTTGGCCCTTAAGTGTCATTGAGGAGATCGCCACCTTGGGAGATGTTCCCGATGTTGCAGTGGGCGACTTCCAAACATGCCTTGCAAAGTCGCAAGCTGCCATGCCTTTCAACCATTTGATCTGCTCAGTCATAGGTCCTGCCCGTAAGGCGACGCGTACCTCGATGAGGCCCAAGCTCAGGATTCTGTTCAGTTGCGGGTGCCCTTGGCTTCCGCGGTGCTTAAGAAGAGGGAGCGATGGGTGGTTGACGCAGAGGGGGACGGTCACCAGGGAACTCGTTCAAAGGGCTCAGGTAAAGGCCGGGGAGGTGGGAAAGGGTTTGCGGCGCGGCGGCCATGGAGGAGGTGGTGGTGGTCGTAGGCGTAGCTCGCGCGGCCGTTCCCGTGATCGCCGTCGCTGTTGAGGTCCCTCTCTGCGGTACTGATTTTCCATTTCAAGTCGCTGGTGAGCATCGCGCCTGTGTAGCTACATGCGTGTTTTTCCTGTTCATGGTAAAGGCTGCTCGTGGCACGCATGATAGACCCCGAATATGTGAAAGTCCAGGCGGTGACTCATTCTCGTTCGTGATCCGCTCGAGCACGTTGTAGTGCACAGCCGCATCTTCCTTCAGCTTGACGCACTCCTTCTGGGAGCCTTGCTGGGAAATTTTGACCCGATGTTTGTGTCTTCTGGGTTCATGGCTTGAGGTTCAGGATTTGTCCAAGAAGAGTCGCTCCGTCAGTGTCAACTGGCTCCTCCCCTCGCATGATGAGTGTTTTGAGTTGGTGTTGTTCACGCCTTGCTTCGCTGCTCCTCGCTTTGGGTCGGTTGGACAGGGTTTGACATGGCTTTAGGTCTTTTTGCCCTCTTCGACCCCTCGGTCACAAGATGAGTGCTTAAAATATTGACTTGTTCACGTGTTTGCTTCGCTGCTCCTGATTACCCCTCGGTCACAAGACGAGTGCTTGGAGTATGGAGTTTTTCTCGTCTTGCTTCGTTGCTCCTGATTTAGGGTTTGTTTGACGGCGTGTAGCCATGGTTTTTGTTTGGCATCTTGCCCTCTTGGACCCTTCGGTCACAGAATGAGTACTTAGAGCCTGGTCATCTTGCTGCCTTTGCCCTGCTGCTCTTATGCTGGATGGTGTCCCTGTAGGAAATTTCATCCGCTTGCTCTTGGTGACCGTTCCCCTCTGTCCTCCCGTTTCTGTCCTTCTGTCTCTCTCTCTCCCTCTTTCTCTCTCTTTCTTTTGCGCCCGTGCGGCTTCGGTTTGTTGTGCTGGACGCAGGTGGTTCTTTGTCTGTGCTGATGTTGGGGCTATGGCTTTCTAGTTGGTCGCGTTGACAGGAGCATCCGGCCCCGGGGTCTTTCCAGGCCAAAACCGTGGACAGACGACGACGACGATGTTCCCAACGGATTGGCTGCGATCTCGAAGGTGCCTGCCGCAGCATGGGGAGAGACGAGAACTCCCCTGGTGGGTTCCACAGATCGGCTGTTTTATCGCCTCATAGGACATATATACGCCACGTATGCGCGCTGCTATCACGGGGCTCAAACAAAGGAATTTTTTCTCCTCGCACGCACCTGGGAGGTACACACATATATACACTTCGCTCGGTTCTGCCTTGACAACGATTCCATGGCCGGCTCCATTCTCCAGGAGGCGGTTCGTCGTAAAATACAAAGGGAAATGAAGCGTAAACGCATAGGCATGTGCAAATTCGCAGGATCCATCATGTCACGCATGCGAAAACAACGCGTGGTATCGATTGGCACATGGAACACTCGACAACTCGGGGCAACACACAGCAAATTCGACCAAGACCCGAAGTTCCGTCACCTGACGCAGCTCTGGGAAGTCAGGGGATGGGAAATTGTCGTTCTCACGGACACCAAATGGGGCCGACACAAGACTTTCGAAATACAGGGACATACAAATACATGGACGGTTATCTCGCGTGGGCACGTTAGCATCGCACGGGACGACCACGACGACCAGTCCGTTCGCATACCCACGTCGATCGTATGCTTTGAAGACTGCATTAAGTGTCCTCTGGCACATACACCGGCGTCCTCTGGCGCCCACGATTTTTTTTTTGATGCACGAGCGTCCTTAGGCGCTCCTGTCAGCCCTGATATAAGCATCGCCGGGTTTTTGGCTCACCAGGAAACACGTGCGATAGGGACACGACAGAACGGCCGAAGACCCCGACCAGTTTGTCCCTTTCCCTGATGCCGTCGGCACAGGACTCGCTTCGACGCGATATCGACATCCTGGGCCAACACTGCCGGATAGTGTTGGTCGGTTTTAGCTGCCTCGATGAAACGTACCGTCGACTTAGAGATGCTCATGACCTGCGACGCTTTACCGAGGAAGCCGTACCGTTGCTGCACACTTTCCTCCGCGACACCCTCCCTGCACAGTGGTGTGCTCCGCGTTTGAACGCGGCAGCAAACCAGGTCGCGAATGCGATGGCTGAGCCTCTCCGTGCACCGCTCGGGGACTTAGCCCAAGGACTAATTCAGCATATAGTCGGGGAGACCCCCCCCTGCCCTCCAGCTGGCATTGTACCTGAGACCGGAAGCATGTGATAGGGATCTTTCACCAGTCCGGGTCCAACTATCTGATGAGAGTGAGGGCAGGGCTGGCTGGCAGCACGATCTCACATATCCTAGCCCAAGTGGCAGGACCAATGTTGCGTACTCTTGAGGGTGCTGCTCGTATCTTCTTAGACAGAAACATCCGTGGAGGTCCTGCTAAAGGCAAAGGCAAGGGAAAAAAGGGTCAGGGCAGAGGCAAGGCAGGCAAAAGCAAAGGTCAGGCTCCTAAGGGAAAGGGTCGGGACCGTGATCGCGAACTTCCTGTCTCAGCAGCAGCGCCAGATCTTCCGCCACCGCCCAACTACCAAGCTCCTGTACCGCCGCCTGGCGCTAACGTAGCCGAGGCTCAAGAGGAGGCCCCCCCCCGGCGCGGGGGTCTTGGACTGAGAAGTGTTCCCAAGCACCCTGAACGGCCTGCTGCGCAGGCCTTTCTTAAGAGCTTCGCCGAATATGCTTACAGTATACGTATTGCACTTCTTCACAGCTGTGTTCAGTATTCGTTTGCTTCCCTGCTTAATCCGAGTATGTCACCCCCAGTATATTTGGCGAAACGCAAATTTTCCACTTCTTTCTTCTGGTCGGGACCATCCCCACGTGTGTTGTTACCCCCTTTGCGTTCTCTGGGCGGCCCCCCACACTCACACATGGACCACAGCACATGCCTTATCAGAAGTATATACCCATGTTCAGAGCCGAGCCATGTCACGTTCTTCTGGTGTCCCAAAGGTGCTCCTCTCAGTAGTAAAGTAACACGCCCGAGTACTACCAAAGGTGATGTCGGCCCGGTATAACTGTTAGGGTTGTGCTGTTAAGGGCCCACAGCAGCAGCAGCAGCAGCAGCAGCAGCAGCAGCAGCAGCAGACGAGAACTCCGGCAACTTTCTGATGCGTATTAAGCCAGGACTCGCTGGGTTGACGGCATCGCATATCATCAGTAACTTAGCCGGGCCCATCTTGAGGGAGCTTCCCGAATGCAATATGCGTGCTTTCATTGACAAATCGCTTCGTGGTGTCCCCAAGGATAACGCTAAGGGTAAAGGCAGGGGACAAGGAGCAGGCAAAGGCAGAGGTGGCAAAGGCAAAAAAGGTGGGGGCGGCCGTTTAGGCGTTAGGAACCCAGCCCCTCCCCCCGCGATCCAGCAGCAGCAGCAGCAGATCCTCGCACGGAGCCCGGCAGAGTACTACAGTAATCATGCCGACTCAACAAGATCTGATCCGCCGAGACGTAGATCTGCTTGCCCATGCTGGTTAATTTCACCTCCCTCGACGCAGAGTATGAGAGACTGCAGGGCTCAAATGAGCTCAGGGAGTTCACAACCGCGGCCTTGCCCCTGACCCAGACGGCATTGCGCGACGCTCTAGGTGACGCGTGGTGCCAGCCACAACTATCCGCCGTGTTGTGAGCACCATGTCGGAGTCACTCATCGAGAATCCTGGAGCGGGGGCGGAGCGCATATTGCAGCACAAAGCTGGCGAAATGCCGCCAGCTTTGCAGCTCGCACATTATTCTTACCCCGCAGACCGTCATTGGCATGTTCAGGCAGCGCGGATCCGATTACCTGTTGCGCTTCCGCAGCGGATATGCAGGACCCCTCGCATCCTATATCTTAGCACAAGTTGCCGGACCCATTCTGAGAAACAGCGAGAACGGCACACTGCGCATTTTCCTTGACCGTAACATCCGTGCAGTCACCGAAGGCAAGGGCAAAGGACAAGGCAAGGGCAAAGGCAAAGGCAAA